GGGTGGGGCAGGACAGCGGATGGGGTAGTGGGCGGGCAGGAGGGGCAATGGACTAGAGCAGGGATGGCGCGCGGTGCTCGGCGCCAGCGCAAACATGATGTTGACCGGCCAGGCCAAGCACTGCCGCCAAAAGGTTAGGGCCGCACCCAGCACTCCCACCCCGCGGCAGGCGCAACGCAGACACCTGCAGCCTGCAGCCGCCCCCCTCGCACCTGCTCTGGCCCGAGGGCCATCTGCCGCGCCGCCCAGATCCAGTGCTCCGCGGGGACCTCCACAGACGGCGGCCAGCGCGGGGCTCCCGGGGCCCGGGTCAGTAGCGGCGACGGCAGGGCGCCGGGGGCGCCTTGTGCGCCCCAGAGGGAGTCGTCCTCGTCAGCGTCGAGGGGCTCCACAACGACCTCACTCAGGGGCAGCAGCACGCCGCTCAGCAGCAGCAGGCAGTTGTGCGCCGCGAGCCGGGCGCGTGCCTCTGACAGCAGGGCCAGCGCGCGGGGCGCATCGGGCGCGCCCCAGCGGATGCGTCTGCGCAAGGTGCGGCGCGCACACACGTGTGTGTGTGTGTGTGTGTGTGTGTGTGTGTGTGTGTGTGTGTGTGTGTGTGAGTGCGCGCGCGCGAGAGCACGCGTGCGTGCGCGTGTGTGTGTGTGCGTGCGCGTGTGTGTGCGTGCGCGCGCCCGCGCGCGCGCGCGCGTGTGTGTGTGTGTGTGTGTGTGTGTGTGTGTGTGCACGTGCGCGTGCATGCACGCGCGCTTTTTGGGGCATGGCACCAGAGCAATGTCAGTGCAAGGCATCCCTGCTGTCGCGGGTATGCACTTTGTGCAACAGGTGCGACGGTGCGCCCGGCATCAAACCTCCCCCCCTCGCACCCCCCGCCCCACATCAACGGCTCACGGCGCGAGGATGGCGCTCGCTTTCACAAAGTCCCTGACGGCGCGCCGCAGCCCGGCGGTCGTCAGCTCGAACGACCCACGCACGGCCGCCTCATGCACGGCCGCCACCCGCCACCCCAGGTCTGCGGGATGGGCGGCGGCCGCGCCATGCCCCAGGCCGGCCTGCAGCTGGTGGTGCTGCCGCAGCACCTGCCGTATGGCCGCCCCCACCTGGGCGGCCAAGCTACTGCACTGGGTCGCGCCCGACGAAGCCGCCCCAGATCCGCCGGCGCAGGTAGGGGCGACTGGCTGCTGCTGCTGCTGCTGCTGCTGTCCCTGCTGCTGCTGCTGCGGCTGCTGCTGATGGTCTTGCTGCTGATGGTCTTGCTGCTGCTGGTCCTTCTGCTGCTGCTGCTGTTCCTCCTGCTGCTGCTGCTGCTGCTGCTGCTGGTCCTGCTGCTGCTGGTCCTGCTGCTGCTGCTGCTGCTGTTGTTCCTCATGCTGCAGCTGCATCAACGCCTCTCCCAGCTCAAAGAGCGCTGCGCACTGACGCACAGCGGCGTCGACGGCATCCGCGTGCGCGCGCAGCTCACGATGGCGCTGCGCCAGTGCCGACACCTCGGTGCTCAGCCGCCCGATGAGAGCCTCCATATTCCTAGTTTTTGGGTGGCCGCAGGGGCTATCGCGTAACTCGCAGTGCAGGGAGGTGTGTGGAGGCATGCCGCATGCCGGTGATCGACCGCGCTGCCGTGCTGCATGGCCTGTGCGCCATGCGCCGCGCGCGCAGGAGCGCGACAGGGCTGATCCTCATGCTTCAGGATCTCCACATCGAGCCGCTCCGGGCCCCACCTGAGCGTTTTGCTGGTGGGTTGTGGCTTGCCGCTGCGCCTCATATCGTCAGTGCAGCACGGGGCCGCGTTGACAGCGCGCCCCCGGAAAGAACTAGGCCAACTCTAATATCGAATATCTCACTATTCAGTGTCCGCACCCGCCAGCTATCTTATGAAGTGATGCAGGCCACCTGGCAGGGTGACATCTTCCAGGCCGTCGGAAGATGTCACCCTGCCAAGATTGGCATGAGAATCCGGATGGATTGCCAGCAATCGCACCCTGCAGGCTTGCAGATGAATGATGCGGCAACAAAGCTGTTCCAAACGTACTTGACGTGCGCGCATGGGGCCTTCAAGCGCACGTGGCAGGCATTTAGGCCACGCCCGCACAGCTCTCATGATTGCAGACCAGACAACACCACTGTGGCCTTTGCGGAGCTGTCTAGGAGGGCGGTTTGTCCACGAAAGGGCTATCGTAAATAACAAAATCAACAGGCGCTGGCATCCTCAAAACTCAGGGACCAGTACTCTGCCTCGTCGCAGACCGAGCACACAATCGGCGTCCTGCAGTCGAGTAGACACCGTGGTATTCACGCCTTAGTCATGATCTGCACCGAGTAGAAAAGCGCAGGCGGCCTGTGGCTTGTTCTGCAGCATGTCTACTAATACTATACGAGATACTGATCTGGCAGAGTCAAGGTATAGGCTCCGCATGGACGCCCGAGCACACACGCACACAGGCGCGTGCACGCCCCCATGTGCACGCTCCCTCCCTCCCTCCCTCCCTCCGTCTCCCTCTCTCTCTCTCTCTCTCTCTCTCTCTCTCTCACTCTCTCTCTCTCACACACACACACACGCACGCACGCACACACACACACATGCCACACACACGCTTGCACGTACGCTTGCGAGCCCCCCCACTGCTCAAGGAAGCACGCCTGCCGGCCATGCGAGGCGGCGTCACAGCCATGCAGCCGAGTGCACCTGCTGCAGCCTGGGTGCTGCTTGTTGCGAGGAATGGCAGGCTGGATGGATGGCAACGCAACGCACGCGCAATATCAAGGTGAACAGGCTCTTCAAACCCTTTCCTGGCATGTTTCTGTGACCCTCTCCTGACACGAGGGAGGGCGGGTTGACGTTTCGCCTGGTGGCCCTTCAGCTGACCCAAATGAACCCAAGCTGACATGTTTGTGATGTTTTGCACACGAACGCAACACCAAGATACGCCATGGGCCAGCCGACTGAGGCAGCCGCAGTACGCGGCGCTGCTTCATGTCATCCAACCTCGATCAGGGAGAGCTTGGATGACCCCCAGCTCGAGCTGGTCAAAGCTCGAGCTGGGGTCACTGCACTCTGCACGTATACTGCACGCATGTGATGACACAGGAAATCCAGTAGATCTAAATGCGAGTGGGGGTCCCTGATGAGGTGGTTAAAGGGCGTGCTGTATGCGTGCCCGGGTGACACGGTGGGCCGACAGGCTGGGGTGCTGCATACCCGATTGCGCACATCACATGGGGCATTTGCTCTCATCACATGACACATTCTCCACCATCAACTCCAGCTTTATCAGTCATACAAGCGACCTGATCGGCGTTCGCTTGAAACCACGCGCGCATCATCAGTTTGGCGTGCCTGCAAGCAAAAAAACGTGCAGCTAGCATGCTTGCCAGCTAAAAACAATTCTTCAGCTTGATATCACGAAATTCGCCGCACGCTACCAATTGATCGCAAGCCGAGGAGGGCTCCCTCCCCCCGCCGGTGCACGTCGCGCGGCGAGGGGCTCGTGCGCGCTTGCGCACACGCACTCGCGCGGTGCGACCGGCTCGATTGCCCAGTGGCCCGCCGTGAGCGAGGATGACTGGCGATGCCGGCCACCAATATGTGTTCTTGGCGGGGGCCATCAGCGGCCTGACCGAAGGGGTCACAATCCAGGTGGGGCTGTGATTTAGTGAGCGAGGGGCCTTGCCTCCGTCGCGCTGGGCTGGGTCCCCCTCCCCTCCCCCCCTCGACATGCTGTGTCAGCTGCTCTGAGCGGCATCCACCCATCAACACCCGTGTGGTCTCCCCTTCTAGCCCCTGGAGATGCTGAAGACGCGCTTCCAAATCAACCCGGGCCAGCACCTGAAGCTGCTGCCCACAATCCGCGAAATAATTGCCGAGGGCGGCGTCAGCCAGCTGTACCGAGGCGAGCAATCCCCGCCCCGCCAGCGCCGTAGGGCCGTGCGGCCCAAGGGCAACGGGTCAGAGAGCAGAGAGGGGGGTCGTTAAGGGGGGTAAAGGGCCGCTGACAGGCAAAGCGGCTGCATCAGTGCGGTTGGCCCGTTTTGCAACTTGGGCGGGAAAGCGAGCGTGAGACCGCCGAGCATGCATGCGACGCGGCAGCTGATGGGACGGTCCTGTGAGCCCCCTTAATTATTGTGTCCACGCGGTGTGACTCATGTGTCCGGCCCTACCAGGTGGCTTGCCTGAGATTCTGGGCCTGATGCCGCGCGCCTCTGCCGCCATGTCCACCCTGGAGTTTAGCAGGTCAGGGGTTGCAGGGATAAAGGGAGAGGGGGGGGGGGACAGCAATGTGGTCGGCGAAGACGCCGCTGGCAGACAGCTAGTCGTGCGCCAAGGGACACGGCAAGCTGGCAGCGTGCTACTGCCCAACGAGCACGGCAGAGCCCCCTTGGGCGGCGGAATGCGGGCAGGGTGCTGCCAGGTTGGCTGACTCAGCACAAGAGGCCGGCAGGGTGCGGGATGTTCCCGGGGCGGAAGCAGCCAGCTTTGTCTGCGGACCTCGCTCGTGACATCAGGGTTGACTCTCCTCCCGCCTTCCTTGGGTCTTCCGCGCACGCAGGCGGTTCTTCCGGGAGCGCAGCGGCGGCGAGCTGCCAGCGCGCTACGCCTACGCGTCTGGCGCCCTGTCTGGCGTGAGTGAGGGCGTCGTGTTCGCTCCCTTCCAGGTCATCAAGGTGGGCCCATGCGGGGAGTTTTGGTTGTGAGGAGGGATGGGGCAGGCGCGGGGCAGGGTTGGGGTTAGGGTGTTTGTGGGTCAAAAGGTGTGTTGAGAGGTGGACCCAGAGCGAGGCTGCTCCATCAAGCAGACACGCCGTCCATGTCAAGACCGCGACTGCTGCGTGGTCATGGTGCAGCAGGATGGAAGGGCTGTGGTGGTGGGTTGAGGCCGCGGGTGGTGACAGTGCGTGGTGGCGAACGGACTTGGCGGCGTCGTGGGGCGGCGGGGCAGCACCGGGAGCGCGCGCCGAAGCACAGCCAGAACGACCCGTCGCCCGCCAGCACGATCTGCTGCACTGCAGCGCAACGTTCAGCGCCGCCAACCCCTCGTCCACCGCCCCACCCCACTCGCACGCGCACACTCACCAGCACAGGTGCGGCTGATGGCTAAGGAGCACCTGGGGCGCTACGCCAACACCCTGGACTGCCTGGGCCAGGTGCTGCGGCAGGAGGGCCCCGCGGCGCTGTTCATCGGCATCGCGCCCACGCTCTGGCGCAACTGCCTGTGGAACGGCGTTTATTACGGCACCACCCACGAGCTGGACAGGTGGGGGCGGCGGTGGGGAGCGCGGAATGGGGGCAGGTGGGGCTCTGGGAGTGAGTGAGTGCTGTTGTGCGCACGCACGAGCGTGTATTCTGTTGCATGGGTTGTTGTTGGCAATGCGTCAGCGGCACGAGTGCAGCTGGAGGGGCCACTCAACATGGTGACGGAAGGCGTTGACCCCTGGTGTATTCACGCTCCCTGCCCCCCACACCTTGACCCCCCCTCCCCCTGCCGCCCGCGCCCCTGCAGGGTGATGCCGGAGCTGTGCAACCCCTGGGTGGCCGCGGGGCGCCAGCTGGCGGTGGGTGTCGGCGTCGGCATCGTGGCCACCTGCGTCAACGCCCCCTTTGACGTCGTCAAGAGCAGGCGCGGCCGCACACATGCCTGGGGGG